TATATATATATATATATATATATATATATATATATATATATATATATATATATATATATATATATATATATATATATATATATATATATATATATATATATATATAGAGAGTGTGTGTGTGTGTGTGTGTGTGTGTGTGTGTGTGTGTGTGTGTGTGTGTGTGTGTGTGTGTGTGTGTGTGTATATGTATATATATATATATATATATATATATATATATATATATATTAAAAAGGTAGGACACTATTCCTGAGTGATCGATACTAGAAACAAATAAAACAAAATGGTTTTATCCGTCATCTATTGACTAAAGAGCTCTGAAATCGATCGTTTTTTTGCTAACACACAGTCATAAATACTAAAGACAAGTTTGTTGTTTCAGGCAGAAAATTAAAATGTTGACGTTTAACTCGTAATTTTAGCATTACTGTGTAATAATCAGTTTCATGAGCTTTACTGAAATATTAGCCAGATAGGCTAGCTACTTTGTTATTATATATAATAAAATTAACTATGCTTGAAAGAGCATTGGAAATATAATGTAAAAATATATCAAAACATATTGATACAACTCTAACAAACATCCAAACAGCGACAAGAAGATAAATAAATAAAATTACCTTATCGCTCCAGTCCGGTTGGAGGCGCTGCATTCATTCATCAGGAGGAGGAAGAGAAACATTACAGTCAGCGCACTGATCAATGTTATGTACACATATAATACTATTACATTTATCTAGCATTCTTCAAGAGCTGTCAAACCCTGTACATAACTTCCATTAACAGACAAATTTGTGGAAGTAAAGGAGTTTGTCTTTATTTCCGTGTATATCTATGCAGAAACGCCTTTATAATCTCTGTTTACATCACATGAAGTAGATCATTGCTGTTGGGTAAGTTTACTTTCTCTGTAGTTTTGATCAGTTAAAATGTCAGAGGTGATTATTAACACGGTTAACACGTTGTTACTGTGGTATTATTGATTCTGACGCAAGTAAAATTTAATAGATGATTTAGCTTAAGTTTCACTACTCAATAGCCAAACTATAAACAAGATAACTATTATAATATTAGTTATTATTATCGTTATTATCATATTTATGTCAGAATTTAAGTTGTTACCTTATACGTTTGTATATATTTTTATATTAATGAAGACAAATGTACTTGAAATTGCTGTGATGGCCGCTAGAAGGCGCCATTGACCAATATTTATCAGCCATACTGAATTATGAATAGCATGCTGAAGTGTGATTGTTTCAGGATGTTTCTGGTGGGACTGACCGGAGGAATTGCCTCAGGGAAGAGCACAGTGTCTTCTCAACTCAAAGAGCTGGGCTGTCCTGTCATCGATGCAGATGTGGTTGCCCGAAAAGGTGTTTATTTCTTTAAAGATTATGAGATATCATTATCAGGAATATAATGAATTTAAACACAAGGCTGAAATAAACACTGTTGATGCAGACAAAGTTTGAGATGGCAAGTTAAAGAAAACATGATTATATCAATTCATTTTACTAATAAGGTTCACAAACTCAAAACACAATCTATTGAAGCTAATTGATATGTGTTTATCACTAAATGTAAGTGCTTGGCAATTTAAAGGCAGTATTAATTGTTTAAAGATATTATATAATAGTAATAAATTTATATTAATATATAAATAACAATATATAAATATTAAATGAGTGCTGAATCACTTTACTACTTGAATTATTTTATGTGTAATTGTTTTATGTGTAATATTATTAGTTTTGGTTAATATTATTTTCATTACTTGATATATGACTTAATAGTATTAGTTACCACTGATTCTTTTAAGTGTAACATCTTATATAATAGTTTGTATACTTATGTATTATGGCTGTTTCCTTTTATAGATTGGTTGGATTTATGTGACTTATTTCACTTACTTAATTTATTATTTTGTCTTGTGGTTCTGTGTTTCTGTGTTTTGTGTGTCATTACATTAGCAATTTCCTGCGGGATCAATAAAGTTTTCTAAGTCTAAGTCTAATATATTATAAATAATATTCATTTAAAATTTGAAAGTTGGCAGTTCATTCTGCTGTGATGAAAACAGAATAATAAAGGGACTAAGCCGAAAAAAAAATGAATGAATTTTAAAGTATTTCAATGTATTATATAAACAATTCACATTTTATATAAATATTTATATAAATTAATTACATTTAACAAAATTTATCAAAAAACTATTTTCACTCAAAAATTCTTTCAATGTAAAAGTTTTTAATTTGTAGCAAAAAAAAGAAAGGATGCACTGGGGCTCAGAGTTGCTTTATAGCATCATATACACTCACAGGCCACTTTATTAGGTACACCTGTCCTACTGCTCGTTAGCGCAGATTTAATCAGTCAATCACATGGCAGCAACTCAATGCATTTAGGCATGTAGACATGGTCAAGTCGATCTGCTGTAGTTCCAACAGAGCATCAGAATGGGGAAGAAAGGGGATTTAAGTGACTTTGGACGTGACATGCTTGTTGGTGCCAGACGGGCTGGTCTGAGTATTTCAGAAACTGCTGATCTACTGGGATATTCACGCGCAACCATCACTAGGGTTTACAGATAATCCCTTAAATGCATGCTTGTTTCCATCAGTATATAATCTTTATGTAAATATGTGTGTGTTTCAGTGGTGGAGCCTCAAACCGCAGCGTACAGACTGATCGTGCGCCACTTTGGGCGGGAGGTTTTATCAGAAAATGGTGAGATTGACAGAAAGAAACTGGGCCAGATCATTTTCTCCAGCCCTGAGAAACGCAGGCTTCTCAACTCCATCACACACCCGGAAATACATAAAGAAATGTTGAAGCAAATCCTGCTGTACTTCATTAAAGGTACACATGCATTAAATAAAGTCCATTGGTGTTATGCAGGAATCTTATGAAGCTGTGTGTGTGTGTGTGTGTGTGTGTGTGTTTAGGCTACAGGTATGTGATTCTGGATGTTCCGCTGCTGTTTGAAACTCGACGGCTCACTCGATTCCTGACGCACACTGTGGTCGTGTACTGGTAATGGCACACATTTTATTTGTGTTATATTAACATTAATTATAGCAATATATTACCTACTAATAATTAGTATGAACTGTTTTTAGTTTGCCTGTAGTTTCAAAATTAATACAAAAACTAAGAATACTAAAAATAAAGGTACTAAAAATGTGAAAACTGAATTTTTTTTCTCTTGCAATTTTAGCACTTCTCTTTTTTTTATAAAACATTTTTCTCATTTGTAAAGGATTTTGTGTGTATTTCACCTGGACTTACCAAAACATTATTTAACTATTTTAATTTAATTGTAATTATTTGTTTCAGTTTAATTTTCATTTAATTCATGTAGGTTGTTTTTTCTGTTCTGCTATATTCCTGTGTTGAGTTTTATCAGGTTAAGTATTTTTAGTTAGTTACCAGGACAAAATTTCTCTGTTTCTGTTTTTAAAACGTAATTTTAATTTAGTTTTTCAATCTACTATTAAAATTTATTTGAAAGAAAAGTATTTTTAAAAAAGATTTTGTGTGTATTTCAACTAAACTCAGTTATACTGTTAGATTTTTAATGGATACTTTTAATTGACATGTACCCTTTTTTTTAATATATATATTTCTCTACAATTGTTTTAAATGTATAATTTATTTTATTTATTTTTTTTCTCAATCTAGAAATAGTTTAGTAATGTTTTTAAAAATGTTAGTTCAATTTAAGTCTTAATTTTAATTTTTTTTTTATTTAAATGTTAGTTATTAATAATGTTTCCATTTGACTTTAATTTATCTTCCGTTTCAGTCTTAGTTGTTTTAGTCTTTCAGATTGTTTTTAGTTTGTTACAAAGGTGATATTTTGAATTTACTTGTCTTTTATTTTGTCTTTCATCTATAATGCCATGTCATTGCATTTTGACTCAAATATTTAATTTATCAGTAACAAGCAGTAATACAGTAATGTTTTATTAAAGTTTTTATTAATTTAAAAAACATGAAATCTTCCTAATTATTAAAGAAAATTGTGTATATTTCAATTAAATTAAATTAGCAAAACAGTGTGGTGATTTTTAGTTGGTCATTTTAATTGTCATGTACCTTATTAATCTTTTTTAATGGATATATTTAGTTTTTCATCAATATTTTTTTATTTCTCAATTCAGAAAAAAATATGTTTATTAATTGTTTGCATTTTAATTATCTTTTTAAAACTGTTTAATTATAATTTTTTTATTTAAATGCAATTTATTTGGAAAGTTTCTGCTTTACTTTATTATTGCCTCAAATTAATCTTTAATCTTCTTTTTTACTTCGTTACCAAGACAATATTTCTAATTTACATCTGTATTTTTAATATTATAGTCTTCCATCTAATAAATATGTGTGTAATGTGTATATCACCCTATCAGTAACAATAAGCGTGTACTCCGTGTGTTCAGTGATCCAGCGACGCAGCTGTCCAGACTCATGCAGCGGGACGCTTTGAGTCAGACTGAGGCCGAGCAGAGGATCTCCGCTCAGATGCCGCTGAAGGAGAAGCGCGGTCTGGCCAATCACGTGATCGAGAATTCGGGCTCGCGCGAGGACACACACAGACAAGTGCTGCGGCTGCACTCCAAACTGGACGACTGCATGCAGTTCCTGATCATCAGAGCCGTCGCGGTGGCTGCGCTCACTGGGCTCGGCGGACTGTTCATCTATACAGTCAAAATAATCACTTCATAGCCCACAAACATTAACATTTAGTCATTTAGCAATAGAGGACGCATTTAGCGACTCAACAAGAAGAGACAATACACACAATAAGTGCTAATTATTAGCCCCCTGTATATTTTTCCCCAATTTCTGTTTATCAGAAAGATTTTCTCAACACATTTCTAAACATAATAGTTTTAATAACTCATTTCTAATAACTGATTTATTTAATTTTAAAGCTTAAAGTGATATTTAAAGACTTAATTAGGTTAATTAGGCAAGTCATTAGCCCCTTTCACACAGTGATACCGGTAAATATCCGGAAAATTTCCGGAACGACTTTACCGGTATATTCAAAAAAGCGCTGTTCACACAGGCGAGGACGTTACGGAAATTTTCCGGAAAAGAGCATTCACACATCCATTCCAAAATACCGGTAAATTCTGACATCATTCACCACAAATGAGCTTTAAACGGCTGCGCTTGTATTTGTAAACATTTGACTAAATTACAAACTCTTTTGATGATCAATATTGTAAACAACTTTCACTGGATCATATTCGCATGTCGAGATGTTCATAATATGTGCGTGTGCTGACGCTCACAGGCTGTTTCATGGGCACACGCAAAGCTTGAAGGTAAACAAACAACGGCTTATCATAAGCATCTTATCGATGATTATTTGCACAGTTGGCATTAAGAAGAACATATAAACGTTATCTGACTAACTTCTAGCAGCTAAATGTGTCTGGAAAAATATTCAAAGGCTTTTATTCTCACAAACCGCGCGGACGTAAATGCGTCTGACTGTTGTGATTGGCTAAAGCAGAAGTCTTACGTCAGCACGTTCTAGACGTGCACGAGCTTATTCCGGAAATCTTCCTTCTGCGTTCACACAGCGCAGCATTCCAGGAAATTGCCGGTAATGTTACAACTTCTCTTTCCGGAAAATAGCCAGAACGAATTTACCGGTATTTTCAAAAAGGACCTGTTCACACATACAACCTTTCCGGAAAATTGCCGGTAATTTTCCGGAAAGGTCTGTATGGGTGAAAGGGGCTATTGTCTAACGATGGTTTGTTCTGTAGACAATCTAAAAATATATATTGCTCAAGGGGGCTAATAATATTGACCTTTAAATGGTGTTTAAAAAATTTAAAACTGCTTTTATTCTTGCTGAAATAAAACAAATAAGACTTTCTCCAGAAGAAAAAATATTATCAGACATACTGTGAAAAATATCTTGCTCTGTTAAACCTCATTTGGAAAATAATTGAAAAATAAGATAAAATTCACGCTTAATTTTGACTTCAACGATAAAGGCACAAACTGTAAAGGCTCCTCCCTTTTCTGAAAGAGGGGGCGGGGACAGCAGCTCACTTGCGTTTAAAGACACACTAACAGCTTGTTTTTGTTTCTGCCAAAAAACAAAAGCATTTACAGAGCAGCTACCATTTATAATGTAATAAAACATGTGTTATTTTGAACATTCTGGGGACACCATCTTGAAAAAAGGGTATAATTATCCCTTTATAACTAATGCTAATATAATCTTATAGTAAATTAACAATATTTCTTCCACAGGACAGTAAATGATGACAGAATTATTGTTTTAACTATGAAGATTGTAATTTAAAATACAGTTTAATTTTTTTTTTTTTACTTTATTGTCAGAATCATCACCTCACATTATTCAATATTTAATTTAACACCTTGTTATGGATATTTTTACCTCACACCATCAGCCTGAATGACAGCTGTGAAAATGCACATTAAAACATATTATGGTAATTAATAGTAAATATTCTAGTGTTTTTGAACCATACTATAGTAAATTACTCAGTTAATCTGTTGTGGTAATACTGTACACATTACAACTACATAAAGGTAAACAAACCACCCTATACTCTACTATGTTAATATATACTTTATCTATCTGGGCTAGTTAGTTAGTTAGTTAGTTAGTTGGTATCTATCTATCTATGTATCTATCTATGTATCTATCTATGTATCTATCTATCTATCTATCTATCTATCTATCTATCTATCTATCTATCTATCTATCTATCTATCTATCTATCTATCTATCTATCTATCTATCTATCTATCTATCTATCTACCTATCTATCTATCTATCTATCTATCTTTTAAGGCTAGATAGATAGATAGATAGATAGATAGATAGATAGATAGATAGATAGATAGATAGACAGACAGACAGACAGACAGACGGACGGACGGACGGACGGATGGACGGATGGACACTATCTACAATACACCAGTTTACTGTAGTAAAACTATAGTGCACTACAGTTTTTATTAAAGTTGAACATTTCACTATAGTCAATACGACAATGAGCTTTAGCATTACTTTTAAATACTGTAACATATAACACTATTATAAAATGATTCAAAAACACTAGTATTTTTTCATGTGGGACTATTCTATTCTTCCCCTTTAATTACTGTGATATGAGCACTGTTGTGCATAATTAACACAGCCACTGTGATGTTCATCTGAAATGTATCACATTGTATAAAACAGAAGTAAATATGTAAGTAAAGACTAGAGTGCGATATTTTTTCAACTCAAATGTTTTATTGTTGATGTTGCATTAATACATTACACGGACCGAATGTATCAAACTCCTCTGCCGTTCTTTGATAAACTCAAATATTTTGATTTACAACGGAATTAAATGAACGATCACAGCACTTTGACACGTAAGTTTTGTGCCTTTTACTTTTGCAGTGTTTTTTATACACTCTCCGGCTACTTTATTACGTTCATAAGTTCAACTGCTCATTTACACAAATTTCTAATCAGCCAATCACATGGCAGCAACTCAATGCATTTAGGCATGTAGACATGGTCAAGACGATCTGCTGCAGTTCAAACCGAGCATCAGAATGGGGAAGAAAGGTGATTTAAGTGACTTTAAACGTGGCCAGTTTGTTTTTTCCAGACGGGCTGGACTGAGTATTTCAGAAACTGCTGATCTACTGGGATTTTCACATACAACCATCTCTAGGGTTTACAGAGAATGGTCTGAAAAAGAGAACATGTCCAGTGTGCGGCAGTTCTGTGGGCGCAAATGCCATGTTGATGCCAGAGGTCAGAGGAGAATGGCCAGACTGGTTCCAGCTGATAGACAGGCAACATTAACTCATAATCACTCGTTACAACCGAGGTCTTCAGAAGAGCATCTCTGAACACACAACACGTCCAACCTTGAGGCAGATGGGCTACAGCAGCAGAAAAACACCTCGGGTGCCACTCCTGTCAGCTAAAAACCGGAAACTGAGGCTACAATTCACACAGGCTCACCAAAATAGGACAATAGAAGATTGGAGAAACATTGCCTGCTCTGATGAGTCTCCATTTCTGCTGCCACATTCGGATGGTCGGGTCAGAATTTGGCATTAACAACATGAAAGCATGGATCCATCCTGCCTTGTATTAATGGTTCAGGCTGCTGATGGTGGTGTAATGGTGTGGGGAATATTTTCTTGGCACACTTTGGACCCATTATTACCAATTGAGCATCATGTCAATGCCACAGCCTACCTGAGTATTGTTGCTGACCATGTCCATCCCTTTATGACCACAGCGTACCCACCTTCTTATGGCTACTTCCAGCAGGATAACGCACCATGTCATAAAGCACAAATCATCTCAGAAAAATCGCTTGATCATGACAATGAGTTCACTGTACTCAAATGGCCTCAACAGTCACCAGATCTCAATCCAATAGAGCATTAAGGCAGTTCTGAAGGCAAAAGGGGTCCAACCCTGTACTAGTGAGTAAGGTGTACCTAATATAGTGGCCGGTGAGTGTATTGCCCTTTGACCTACTGTATTTCCTAACCCTGTTCCTGAAGGCACACCAACAGTACACGCCTGAATCAACTCATCAGAACATTAGAAGAGACTCCAAAACCTGAAGTTAATGGGTCAGATAAGGGAGACATGCAAAATATGTACTGTTGGTGTGCCTCCAGGAACAGGGTTGAGAAGCACTGTGCTAAGATGAATAAATGGAGCATGATTAGCATAGAAATATAGTTAATTTGTTGATGTAGTTTAGTAAAGTTAACGAATGCAGCTTTGTTGTGCAGTGTGTTGAGCTACAGGTTGTGTTGGTGCAGCTGAGTGTGTGTAAAGATGAGTAATATAGATGTACATCAGACAGATCTGACAGTTTTGAGTTGTCTCTGCTCTTCAGGCCTGACCCACGGTGATGTTCTCTGTCTTTAATAAGCTGTTCTTATGCTAACACAGAGTGACGCTGGCTAGCGGCCCTGCACAGTAAGACCTCTGTGTGTGTATGTGTGTGTGTGTGTGAGAGAGAAAGAGAGAGAGAGATGGTCAAGGTTTCAAGACTGTGCTTCTGTCTTTATGGAATGGATACAGATGTTAGTGTGTGTTGTGGTGTGTGTCTGTTTGTTTGTTTTGTGTCAGTGTGCGATACATTGTGTATTTGTATGTGTATTGTGCAGGTGTGTGTGGGTGGGTGGGTGTTTTGAACGATAAGTGTGTGTACATGTATTTGTGTGTTGTGATGTGTGTACTGAAATTGTGTTTGTTTTGTGTCAGTGTGTGACACATTGTGTATTTGTATGTGTAGGTGTGTGTATGTGTGTGTGGCTGGGTGTTTTGTGGGATACTGTAAGTGTGTGTACATGTATTTGTGTGTTGTAGTGTGTGTATTGTATTTGTTTTGTGTGTGTGCTTTTTATTTGTGTGTTGTGTACTTGTTTGTGTGTTGTGGTGTGTGTATGGTATATGCTTGTTTTGTGTGTGTGTGTTTGTGTTTTATTTGTTTGTGCGTTGTGTATTTGTTTGTGTGTTGTGGTGTGTGTATTGTATTTATGTTTGTTTTGTGTGTGTTTTATTTGTTTGTGCGTTGTGTACTTGTTTGTGTGTTTGTGCTTCTATTAGTTTGTTTGTGTGTTGTGGTGTGTGTTTTTGTGTCGGTGTGTGATACACCATTTATTTTGCATGTGTTTGTGTGGGTGTGGATTTGTGGCTGTGTGTGTGTGTGTGTGTGTGCGCATGTATTTGTGTGTGGTATGTGTACTGCATTTGTGTTT